TGGTGGCGAGGACCCAAAGCGCCGCAAGACTGGCGAGACTAGCCATGCATCCTCGGGCGTCCAGGTTCCCCCAGGTCCCCGGGTATTGCGCCGACGTGAGACGAGGTCTGCCACCGACGCGGACCACCTGTCGGATGGCCGTCCGGCCGATCCCCTTGCTCGAGCTCCGATGACCACGGCGCCGCATCAGGGTGCCTTGACTGATTGGTCTGTCCACCCCCCTCCTACTGCTTCGATACTTTGCGGGGATGTTCCTCCGGAGGCCTTTATGCGCAACCTCTGCTTGCCCCGCGACACGGTGATGCACGATGACCATGCCATTTTCTGCCCATTGCTAGAGGTAAGTGCTACTTTATGATGATGATGTGTTTTCTTTTTCCTTGTTATCTTGTCTTCTACTTATGTTTGTCGTTGTGTAGGCGGTTGCCTGTGCCGTGTCCATGGAGAAGGTCCTAGGGAGTACCCGTGGTCAGCAGGAGGCCGAGACGCGGGCTCGCCAGGACGTGAGCGACAAACTTGCGGCGCTGGAGGGCCAGTATGCTGAGATGATTGCCAGCCGGTCGCGGGAGCGCGCAGCACATCAGGAGGCCCTGAAGGAGGCTTCGAGGGTGGTTGTTACGGGTTACAAGGACTCCCAGACCTTTGTCTAGGATGCGAAAGCCTATGTTTTCGCGCACCCCCAGGAGACCTTGGATGATCTCATGAGCTTCCCCGAGGGGAATGAGTGTGTGGGTTTGCAAGGATTGGCGATATACGAGGCGGGGGAGTGCTCCTTGCAGAGTAAGATCTATTCCATCCTTCGCGCCAGAGATGCATCCTTTGACCCCGTGGTGTGGGGCCTGCCCGAGGAGTTGGAGGAGGAGCCTGGTGACCCCATGGACGTGGTGGAGGGAGAGGGTGGCGCGCCCCCTCCGTTGGACTCGGCGGCTGACCGCTCGTCGAGTGCGGACTTCGCGGCTGACCTTCTTCGCTTTGCAGGCGTGGATGCCCCCCAGGAGGAGACTCAGGCTGATTTGGGTGGCGACGACGGTGCCCGCGAGGCTGTGAGGCCTTGATGTCCTTTAGAGTTGGTGGCCCCTTATCTTTATTTAGTTGTTTGCATAGACTATCTCTTCTGTTTTGCTTAGATTGGTGTTATCTCATTGCGCGGGTTGTTGCCAATGCGTTCCTTTTGTTTGTTTTGTTTGTACTAGACTTGTTGGCTTCGGCATGACATTGTTTTCTATGACACTGATCATCTATTTCGTCTTATACTTCTGTCTGTTTTACATGCATATTTATCTTGATTGTTCCTCATCGTGACTTGCCTTGTGCCCGCCAACGCGGGACTAAAGAAATTTGGCGACGCGGAAACTTGGCTGGCCTGCCAACGCGGTACCAGCCAGCCCGCCAACGCGGGACTAGCCGACCTCACGGGGTCGGCCGGCCGACCTCTCGTTGTCTGCTGTTGGGGTCGGCTGGTCGCTTCTTCTTGCTGGGTTGCTCGTCCGGCGATGAGCGAGGTCGGACCTCGCACCACCCCGGGGCGTTGAGGTTGCGTTACGCCCGTCCGGCGATAGTTGAGGCTGGACCTCATCTCGCCCATAGGACGTTTTAGCGATTCTTGGGATGGAGTCCCATGACTCGCGTCCCGAATCCTTCCGTTTGGCGGTAGGCGAGGACAGACCTCGTACCAACCCTAGGGTGTTGAGGTTGCGTTACGCCCGTCCGGCGATAGGTAAGGCCTAACCTCATACCGCCCCTGGGGCGCTTTAGCGATTCTTGGGATGGAGTCTCTTAACTCGCGTCCCGAGTCCTTCCGTTCGGCGGTGGACGAGGCCGGATCTCGTACCGCCCCTAGGGCGTGTGTTATGTCTAATGTGGTCGCCGGGCTCTTCGCGTACGCGCCCGTCATGTTCGGCCTCTCTAGCGCGACTGTCCTTCGGAGAGCCGACTTCACTCCGACCCAACCTGCGCCGGCCGACCCCGTGTCAGCCAACCTCGGGTAGGCCGGCCTTGGGGTGCCCGAGCGTCTGACTCTGTTTGTGCACATGCTTGTCCCCAAGTCGGGATAGGATAATTGTTCAACAACCTCATTATTCCATTGCGAATGTAAACAAACATTATTAATGGAAACCCGACCTTTTATTGGGGAGGGGATGTGCCATACAAATGAATTTCTACAGGTAAAACTTCAGCAAGTGCTCCGAGTTCCACACCCTGTCTACCACTTTACCCGATGTGGTCTTTAGCTTGTAGCTGCCTGGTCGTACTATGACTTCAATCATGTATGGTCCTTCCCATTTCTTTGCAAATTTGACTCTGTCTTGGGGTCGGCTTGCCTCCCTCCTCCGGAGGACGTAGTCGCCAACCTGGAAGTAACGGAGTCGGACTCGGTTGTCGTGGTAAGTTTTTGTTTGACGCTGGTAATTTTCTGCCCGGACCATGGCCTCCTCCCTTCTGTCGTCGATGAGGTGGAGGTTGGCGGCGTGGTGTTCCTCATTGAGGTCGGGGTCGTATATTGCAACCCGATAGGATGGTATCACAGCTTCGGTGGGGGCCCGTGCTTCGAACCCATATGCGAGCGCAAATGGTGTCTCCCCGATGGCTCTTCTTTGGGTGGTGCGGTATGCCCATATGACGGTGTCCAGCTCCTCCATCCATGTTCCTCCGGCTGCGTCCAGGTTCTTTTTAATGTCGTCGACTATAGTTCTGTTGGCGTTCTCCACCTGCCCGTTTGCCTGTGGGTACGCCACCGCCACGCGGGTGTGTTTTATGTACCATTGGTCGCAGAATGCCTTAAACTCTTTGATTTCAAACTGGCGCCCGTTGTCGAAGATGATTTGCATGGGGACCCCAAAGCGGTACAAAATGTTCCTCCGTATGAACTCCGTGCACTGGGTGCTCGTGATGGTGGCGAGGGGCTCCGCCTCTACCCACTTTCTAAAATAGTCTATGGCGACTATTATGTACTTCCTCTTCGCGGACCCCATGGGTAGGGCCCCGACGATGTCGATCCCCCACCGGGAGAACGGGATCACCGTGCTGATAGGCGTGTAGCTGGTCGTTGGCCGTCCCGGCTCTACATGAAAGTGCTGGCAGGTCAGGCACCCCCGGGCGTACTCCGCGTATTCCTTGGTGTGCAGCGCAGGTGCCTTCATGTATCTCCTCTTTGACGGACTTGGCTTTGTCCGGGTATAGGCATCGGAGGACGGCGCCATTGTAGGACCTTTTGTAAAGGGTGTCTCCAAGGAGGACGTATGTTGGTGATTTGCACTTGACCGCCTTGGCGGTTGCCTCATCTGCTGGCAGGGTACCTGTTCTCTTATATTCAATGAGGTGGTCCAACCAGCATGGGGACCGTGTCTGTATGGGGAGGACGGGGTAGGTCTCCAGGCTGGACAATCCGTGCTATCTTGGAGACATGCTCCGGGGTGCCAAGGCCGAGCTTGGAGAGCTAGTCCGCGTCCCCGTTTTGACTTCCGGGTACCTACAAAATTTCGTAGAGGGTCAATTGACCAGGGACCTGGAGTACCACGTTGCGGTATGTTCTCATCCTCTCTTCGTTGGGAGTCGCATCGCACCCTTATTTTGGAGGCCCTTAGTCCCAATGCCAGCCTGAGGCCACCCAGTAGCGCCTCGTATTCGGCCTCATTGTTGGACAGCTTGAAGTGGAAACGAAGGGCGTAGTAGGCCCGGAACCCTTCCGGGGTTACGAGGACCACCCCTCCGCCACACCCTCTGGGGCTGGACGAGCCATCTGTGGACAGGGTCCACCAATCTTCCTCATCGCTCCGGGTTAGTTCGGCGGCCTCGCGAGCGGTGCACTCGACTATGAAGTCGGCGAGCGCCTGCCCCTTGATCGCGGGTCGGGGCTTGAACTGGACATCATATTGGCTCAATCGCATGGACCATTTGACCAACCTGCTTGCCGACCTCGAGGCCCTTAACACTGCCTCGAGGGGTTGGTTGGTGAGGACCCGCACGGGGTGTGCTTGGAAGTAATGTCCGAGTTTTTTGGCCGTGGCGTCCACGACAAAGATTGCTTTTTCCGTGGGTGAGTACCTGAGCTCGGCGCCTCGGAGGGCTCTGCTCACGTAGTACACCGGGCATTGGGTCCCCGCGTCAACCCGGACCAGTACGGAGCTGATCGCGGCTTGCGAGATGCCCAAGTACAGATACAAAACCTCCCCTTTCTCCGGTTTGGCCAGGGGGGATAGCGTCATGAGGTACGTCTTGAGGTTCTCGAAGGCTCTCTGGCATTCGTCTGACCACTCGAACCCCTGGTTCTTCTTGAGGACCCCGAAAAATGGCAAGGACCTCTCGGCCGACCTTGAGAGGAATTCGGCCGAGGGCCGCCAGCCGACCATTGAGGCGCTGGACCTCGCGGTGGGACCTCGGGGGTTCCATCTCCAGGATGGCCTTGACTTTCTCGGGGTTGGGTTCAATACCCCTCTTTGAGACCATGTACCCCAAGAACTTCCCTCCGTGTACCCCGAAAGTGCATTTCTTGGGGTTCAAACGTAAATCAAAATGCCTCATAATGGAAAATACCTCGGTTAAGTCGGCTATGTGGAGGTCGGCCTCCGTGCTTTTCACAATCATGTCGTCCACGTAGGCTTGCAAGTTCCGGCCGAGGACCTTCTTGAACACCTTGGCCACCATTCTTGTGTACGTGGCTCCCGAGTTCTTGAGCCCAAACGCCATGACCCGATAGCAAAAGACCCCTTCGGGGGTGGTGAACGCCGTCTTTTCTTCTTCATCCTCGTGCATGAAAATTTGGTGGTACCCCCGGAAGGCGTCTAGGAAGCTCATGAGTGCGCACCCTGCCGTTTAGTCCAGCAGCTGGTCTATGTTGGGTAGTGGAAAGGGGTCCATGGGGCATGCCTTGTTGAGGTCCGTGTAGTCCACACACATCCTCCAGGTGGGTGGTTTGGGTGCGAGGACTACGTTTGCAAGCCATGCTGGGTATGTGACCTCCCTGATGTGCCCGATTTCGAGGAGGGTGTCGACCTACTTCTTCACAAACTCTCGTCTATATGCGGTGAGGTAGCGCTTCCTCTGTTGGACAAGCTTGGATTTGGGGTCCACCGCCAGTTTGTGCGTGATGACCTCCCGGCTGAGGCCCGGCATGTCTTCGGGACCCAGGCGAACACGTCTTTGTAGCTGCGGATGACCTCGACAAACCGACCTCGGAGGTCGGCCGGGAGGCTTGTGCCTACCTTCACCATTCTATCAGGTCGGCTGAGGTCCAGGATGACCTCTTCCGTCTCCACCACGGGTTTGGCGCGGGGTCGCTTCTCCTCCTCTCGAAGTGCCCTCTCTGTTATTGTGTGCACCTGGAGGTCCTTCTTCGTTATTTGGCGGCAGGCCTTCAAGTAGCAGCTCCGACTAATCTTCTGGTCTTCTCGTGCGACGCTTACTCCCATGGGGGTAGGGAACTTGAGGCAAAGGTGCTCCATGGAGATGACGCACCTGAGGTCCTCCAAGGCAGGTCTGCCGAGGATGATGTTGTGGGCGCAGCTGATCTTTACCACCACGAACTCTACCTCCCATGTCTTGACGTGCGGTGGGGTGCCGATCTGCACCTCAAGGGTGACGGAGCCCTCTGTATCAATGGAGTCTCCGGTGAAGCTGGATAGCGGGGTCCGTACCTGGGAGAGTTGCTTCCTGGATAGTCCGAGTTGCGTGAAGGTGTCATAATACATGACATTCACGGAGCTCGGCCATGACGTCTTTCGTGAAAGGTGTGGTCAAGGCGTCCCAAGGCTCTGGTGACTCGTCGCGTGCCTCGATCTTGCACTGCAACTCGCGCATCTGCCTGCGCAGTTGCTCCATCTCATCGCGCTGGGAGCTTAGAGCTCGACCTCATGTCTCCCCCGAGCGCTCCACTGGTGGGATCGGTTCCCGTGGCCCTGGAGCACGAGGTACATGGCTCCCGGACCTCCGTGAACACGACGACTCCGCCGGCCTAGCATCTGCGACTGGCCTCGGCCCTAGGCGGTCTTGCGCCGGCACACGCGGACCCAACCGCCCGAGCGCTGATGTGGCCCGGGTCGATCGAGTCCCTCTCTCTTCCCGTTGCTCGTGTCGGCCTCGGCTGATCTCCGCCTCGCCTCTCCTCTCGGATGGCCATGGTGAGTTGACTTCCACATCGGCCGGCGTTGCGGGCGTGCGGGGCGCTTGAGTGGTGGGACTCCCATGCTCCTCGAAGGGGGTGGGGGTTGAGGTGCTGGGGCACCCTGTCGCAGCCCTGCCGCGATGCGGTTGAGCGCGGTCGCCGCCTGCTCGAGCGCGGCAGCCTCCTCTTGTGGAGTCAGAACTGGTGGTGGGGTGGGTGGCGTTGCCCCGCTGAGCGGGCGATTATTGGTGAGCCGACCCTGGAGGTCCTCTGCCGCCCCCCGCTGAGCGGGCGATTGTTGACTTCCCCATCGGCCGGGTCCTCAAAGGTCTCCTCCTGTCACCACGGGCGCGGTGTGTCAGCTTGCCGTGGCCCCATTGGGGAGGTTGGCGAGGGAGAGGTCGCGTGTGTGGCGTGAACCATGCGAGTTGTGGGTGTTCGACCTGGATCTTGTCATCGCTGTGGATGAAGGATAATATGGAGAGCGCTTAAGCTTGTACCGCCGCTCTCAATAAGAGCACCAATGATGGATTATATGAACCCGGGGGTCCGGATTATACAACCCGAATATATGTTTGAATGTGAGGAACAAATAATAAAATGGTAAATATCGCATTAATTGGATATAAAATGCTATTACAGAGGTTTGGGACGTGCAATAATAGTACAAATGTTGTAAGAAAAGTATGGGATGCCTCTTTAGGACATCAGGGGGTGTTTATATACCCCCGGGCGCTACGGGCCCTGGGCCCGCGGGAGGAGCGGCGGCCCGCGCTGCGGGACTCGCTCCACGCGAGGACCCGGCCCTTGGCCGAGCTCAGTGAGGCCGGCCACGCCGACCCCCCGTTGGGCCTACCCCGGGGTGGTTCGCCATGCTACGCGGGTCCGACCCGGTTCGTGTTGTCCTGCTCCCATTCGGTTCCGTGATTATTCCATCACAACCAATTTAATTTTCCGTACATATAAAGATGAAACCTTTTTCCTACTTAAATAATTTAAAATTTTCAGGGTATCACAATCTACCCTCCTTAAAAGAAAGCTTCGTCCCCAAAGCTCCTAAGCTAAACCCAATTCAGAAAGGAAACACAACGAAATTCTTGCGGACTACATCTGCAAGTTGCACACTTAACGAAGAAAACATGGTGTTAAACTCTACCCTACTTAAAAATACAATTACGTTCTCGTAACTTAAAAGAATACCTTACTAAAATAACTCCAAAATAAATTAATTAAGCGCTAAATATCACCAAGTCCAAATATATTTTTTTCAATTAAAACATAAAGTATTACCTCCAAATTTTCCAATTCTCCAAATTTCACCAAACAACACCACCTGCATGTATTAGCGATCATAGAAGAAAAATATACAATAATCATGTAATGTCACGCATCCTCACCACGATTTTCCAAAATTCCAATTTCCCAGTCAATTCTATTTCTTATATCCCCAAAAATTCATAACCTAGGCTCTACCACTTTCTATGTCCAAGATCTCACAACCTAGGCTCCCAAAGGTTCGAACTGCTCTGATACGAACTTGTAACACCCCCAAATTTCATGTCCACATTTTCATTAATTTTTTTTTCTTAATTAACAATTTACTAAAATCATAGCGGAAGCATTTACTAAAAAAAAAAAAAAAAAAAGAACTAGGTGTTACGGCCACGCTCAGGTATTTTTCTTATACCAAAACGCTAAGGCTGAAAATTACCAAATAATCTAAACAATAATCCAATAACTAACTATTACAAACTTGATCTTTCTTCTTGAAAACAATCTATCACTTTGATCAAACTTATAGCCAAGCTCTCTTTCTTCATCATCCAAAATCAATTTACCTGTATACATATAATTTTCAAGATATACAAAAATAACAAACAAAGGTAACACTTTGCTAAGTAAAGTTTACTCCACCCTGTAAAATAGTTTTTGTTTTATATATGTAATAAACCTTTCCAAAATATACGTGGAGATATATTTTTCAAAAATCAATTTCTGTAAATACACATGGAGGATTAGTACTTATACATGGAGAAATAACCATCTCTTAAAAATCCATTTGGAATCTGAACCAAAACCCTATGTGCACACCCCCGGGTAGTATATGATCCAAGTAGTCAGACTTCTTTCTGACTACCTGCCAACCAATTTTAGAAACTGGACCATAACCTATGTGATACACCCTCACGAGATTCCAAGCCTAGTGAGTAGTAATTGGTTCATAAAGTCATAAATCTTCAATAACTCATAATTTCTCAAATCGACATAGCATCCATGCATTCAGTTTATAAGAAGAGCTATATCCACCGTATGACATGTATATATATACTAGTATTGTGTACGCGCGATGCGCGAAAAATTCATGCCCAATATTAAAACATTGATAAATACAAATAATTAAAAATTATAATTTGAATTATATATATACAAATAATATATGTATTTTGTACACACACATATATAATTTATCATTCATAGAAATTTAATTAAAATATAATTAAGTATTAAATTAATATATAATGATTTTAATTAAATGATAATTAAAAATAAGAAAAAAATATGATAGATATAGGTGTATGGTAATAATGATGTGTTATTAAAGTTAGAATTAAAAATTAACGGTGTTATAACGGTGTAAGGGTAGTTTTGTCTAATAACATTGGAATGTACAACATTTAAACTAAAATGTACACATTTATTTGCATACAAAAAGAGGGACATAAATCAAGGATATAACTTTCATTGAGGCTTATTATGTTTTTAGATAATTACATATATATATATATATATATATATATATATATATATATATATATATATATATATATATATATATATATATATATATATATATATAGAATAAAGTTCAAATGCGGCGGGGTCTTCCCGTGCGGCGGTGCGGCGGAATTCCAGAATACACCAACAGTGTTAACAATATGCACCAACAGTGTAATAAAAACACACCACAATGAAATGCAATAAAACATCACAAAATACACAACAGACTCAAAGAAATACACCATATAACTCACCACCCCCAATGATGTATTTCCGAACAGTGTATGGTGTTTTTACTCACACCTAATGGTGTGTGTTTGGTGATGCGAGCTCTGTTTACTCTGTTTTGTGTGGTGTATTTTCCTAACGTTGATGGTGCATATTTGTTGAACTATTGGTGTTGCCGCACCGTAAGAAATTGCCGCACCGTAAGACACTGCCGCACCTGAACTCGCCTATATATATATATATATATATATATATATATATATATATATAATAACATACATACACGTATATTTATTTAACCACAATAATACCATTTATCATATGCAAACACATTTACAGGGAAAAAGTATGATTTTGATGGCCATCAACACTCAAAAATATAAACTTTTATAACTTAAAAACACAAATTTCACAAAGTAGAATAAAGAAGTGGACACAAACACTTACTTGTTTTTCCTAGAAATCCTCAAGAACTTCAAGCCTACCCTTGTTCTTCTATAATATCACCTCTTCAAAAACTTGATACTCTAATTGTTGAAGAATTTTTAAATTTTTTTTTGGTTAAAGTGAATGGCAAAGAGAGACCAGGAGAAGGGAGAAGAAGAAGAATTATTCCCTTTCTTTTTGTTAGAATAATTCGGCCAATTCAAGGAGAGAAAGAAGGGGATTAAATCATCCCATCGTTATCTTTAATTAAATGAAATAATCGAATATCAAATGTAATTATTATAGACTTTGTAACAACCATTTACCATCATTATCCAATTTAATTTAATTTGATTAAATCCCTTTAATTATAACATGTGTACAAATATATATCTTATTATTATATATATAATATATATATACGGTCACATACAAATATAATCTATACATAATCTTCAAATGTATATATTTCTATATATATTACATATAAAATAGTTTTAATATTAAGTAACATATCATCAAATGAGGACAAAGAAATGAAAGTTCTGATGGTTTTAATGGTAAGAATACTATTCTTGTAAAGGAAGGGTTTAAGGTTCAAAACTCATTACAACCAATTTAATTTTCCGTACATATAAAGATGGAACCTTTTTTGTGACACCTCGTAAATCCGAATTCCATTTCAGGATTAATTAAGTAATTAATCTAGATTAATCAAGTAATTAATCTAGATTAATCCTAGATTAATTGATAGTTTAATTCCTAAAATCTTGAAAACTCAATAGTCGGGGACTAGAAATTGACTAGTCAACCCAAGTCTATGAGTTGTACTTTAAGTTTTGTGAATTGTTCCCTTGTCTCCTTACACTTTTCCATCTTAGTAAGGGTAAAGAAGACCTTTCACCTCATGATTGTATTCCAAGCTAACCTAGAGTCATCTTTCATTCTTTTCCCTAACACTCTAAAAAGAAATGCTCCTCCTTCTCTCTAGAACTTAGCGAACTTCTTCTTCAAGCCAAGTTTGGGCATTCCAAGATCTTTCAGGTTGGTCTCCAAGATTCAACCTTTCTTACTTTTGAGCATATAGGAGGGTAAGATCTTTGGTCCTTTAGTGTTTCTAGTACCTTTTAAGGTGTCTTTTTCTAAAGATGAAAT